CAGTGGAAATATATGCCATTATTCTGGAGATTTGACACATTTTCTCGATAATGGTGAATACATGGATACTTCAGGAATTCCATGAACAGATAAGTATTTTCATTATTCATTGCAATTTTGTGCCACTCAAATTCTGCATTCAAAAGTTACTTTCCAGACAAAATTAACAATATTTTTCTCAACTAATTTCTGCAAATGTTATTATTGACATTGTTCTTGACATTAGTTAACGAATCAACTTCCATACTTTATTTGTTTTGAGGAAAATTACGAGCCCATTTAATACAAACTATATACACTGACATAATGCTGTATGAAATACCTTAATTATATATATATAAGTAGTAAGGTAGGACAGACTATTTTATATTTTAACATATTTACCTTGCAGATGCCTGTGTTAATATAGAAGGGTAGGAGAGACATTTTTTTTTATTTCAACATAAGTTGAAATCCACCATGTAACTTGTAGTCAGGTATATGATATATACTTATAGCTATAGGTGTAATGACTGATGATGCCAGTAACTGTATCAGTGGATCAACAAGTTTGGGATAATTTTTGGGGATTGTCTTTCATTTATGAGAATTCCCTAGTCACAAAATGTGCAGCTTTGCATAGAAAACCTAGAATGAAAACTCACATACTGTACTGCTCTGTAGCAATAGTCCAGAAAAAAGGATGTTTCTGGAAACGTCCACATACTTTTTACAATAAATAATGTTATTGACACAAAAAAAAATCAAAAAAATCTGAAAGTTTGTTTGGTAAAATTTCACAAAATGTACCACTGATAGTCCTGTTTATTGAACATTAATCATCAGTCATTGTCAAATGAATCTCAAGTAAGTAAATCCATTTAAAAATGCACTCATGTATCCATTTTCTTGACAAGACCCCCTTTACTTTTAGCTTCCTGCAATTTTTTTCAAAACAGTTAAAGTGTTAAAATAAGCCAATAAGTTTCAGAATATTAACATTATCAGATAACAATTGAGTTAAACAAACTTTGAAGTCAATTATGTTCATATGAATGTCATTGACCAACTTGCAAGGTAGGAGGTGTCAAAAGTATTAATTCAGGAATGATGGACCAGCAGTAAAGCTCAACAAACGTTTACAATTTTCAATTCTGCATTTTCATGAATAATTCCTCAGGGCTTCCAAGCATGTATTCAATATTTGAAATGCACACATTGTAATTGAAGCATTTATCATATACATGTATAACTTTTGTATTGAACAGTGTGGCAGCACCCATATGTGAATGTTTTCAAACACTTCAACCTTGCATCATGGAAAAAGTCAACAAAAGAAGGCGAAGTAGCAGGAGTAATGGTATAACAACTAAATATGCACAGATACTAATTACTGATGTTTGTAAACTTTCACTAAAGGGTCAAGTCCTTAACCAACTAAACTTATACTATGTTAATTGTAGTTCATTTTGCCTGACAATATTGTCTGCTCATGAAGTTTCTCAAATTAATTGTTGTTGATGGTCACAATCTGGAAACATCATATAATTTCACAGAATTTTTCTATTTGTCAATCAGTGCTGAAAAGTGTAAAGCAATGAGGAATTGTATATTACCTCACACTACCACCATTACATGCATTCACATAGTAAATTGACATTTTCCTTTTTTTTTCAACAGGACAAAGCTGTGAAATGTACTGTGTACAAGGTGACAGGTTCAATCCCTGCTGGGAATTATATCCAGCTCCCAAAGGCCCAGACCCAATCACTGGGTTTAACTGGACGTTACCTGTACCTCCTGTTCAAGCCAATCCCCACCAAATACTTTGTTGTCCACATAGACCTAGCCACTCAGGACAACCTGATCGTGAGAGTGTCATTCTCTAACCTGTTTAAGGAGTTCAAGTCAACTTCCACATGGCTTCAGTTCCCATTTCTTTGTAATGCTTCCAAAGGATCTGTCCATGCATTTGCTGCAATGGGTGGGAAAGGTGAGAATATACAGAAGAGAGTAGTATAGATAAAATGTAAGTGATCTTAATGTAATTAGAAACACACACCTATACAATTGTATGTACA